TGAAATGATTCAATTTTTCTGACAGAAACACAAATTTAAAAAATTGAATTATTTTGCAATTTTAGTAATAAAGATTTAGGTCGAAAATTAGGTCAAAAAAAACTTGCTAGAATTACCACTATTTTTAAATTGACACTATTTTACTTACTTTGCATAAATTTGTGTTATTATATGAAAATAAATGTAAAAAATTTATTAAAAAAAAATAGTTTTGAAATAGTTTGCAAATATAAATGGATCAATTATTTGACTTTCCGTTTGATTTTCTGATTTCGTGTGTAATGAATTGAGATACACACGTAATACATGGGGTTTTAATAATGAACTAATGAAAATGTTAAATTCTTCACTAATTTGTTGTTAACAGAAAGTTAGATTTTGATAAGAGCATTTCTGAATATTTCAAATGATTTTCAGTCGCTTTTGTTACTTTTTCTGAAAATTTCCAAATATAACAACAAATAAGAATCTATAAAATTATTGAAATGATTCAATTTTTCTGACAGAATCACAAATTTAAAAAATTGAATTATTTTGCATTTTAGTCAAAAAGATTTAGGTCGAAGATTAGGTCAAAAAAACTTGCTAGAATTACCACTATTTGTAAATTGACACTATTTTACTTACTTTGCATACATTTGTGTTAATATATAAAAATAAATGTAAAAAAATTATTAAAAAAATTAGTTTTGAAATAGTTTGCAAATATAAATTGATCGATTATTTGACTTTCCGTTTGATTTTATGATTTCGTATGTAGTGAATTGAATTACACACGTAATACATGGGGTTTTGATAATGAACTAATGAAAATGTTAAATTCTTCACTAATTTGTTGTTAACAGAAAATTAGATTTTGATAAGAACATTTCTGAATATTTCAAATGATTTTCAGTCGCTTTTGTTACTTTATCTGAAAATTTCCAAATATAACAACAAATAAGAATCTTTAAAATTATTGAAATGATTCAATTTTTCTGACAGAAACACAAATTTAAAAAATTGAATTATTTTGCAATTTTAGTAATAAAGATTTAGGTCGAAGATTAGGTCAGAAAAAACTTGCTAGAATTACCACTATTTGTAAATTGACACAATTTTACTTACTTTGCAGAACTTTGCATACATTTGTGTTATTATATGAAAATCAATGTGAAAAATTTATTAAAAAAATTAGTTTTGAAATAGTTTGCAAATATAAATTGATCGATTATTTGACTTTCCGTTTGATTTTCTGATTTCGTATGTAATGAATTGAGGTACACACGTATTACATGGGGTTTTGATTTGGGTTAGGTAACTCTGCCAATAATTTCGTAGTCCTCCGAGAATCTCGTGATTAGCAGCGCCAACTTCGTGCGCTCCGGAATTACATCATTCTTTTCAACCCATCCACCCACGAACCGAGCAAAATTACGTAATTCCACAGTACTTTAAATCGCATTGACTCTAATTCTAACATTCAACTTTGATGCAGAAATTAAAACAAACTAAATTAACAATTTTCTTTTTCAATACAAAATGTATTTTTTCTCACCTTTGTTTGTTTCTGTTTTATTGAAAAATTAGACATTTTTTACTACAATTATATTATTTGTTTTGGTTTTTCAATTTACTTGAAGTTTTCTTTCAATGAATTTATTTGTAAGTTTTCTGTGAGATATTGGAAACGTTATATAATATTGAATTTTAGTATGTGTTCAATCATGTTTTGAAAGTTTTGAAGCGTTTCATTAGTAGTGCGCTTCACGGACAGACGGGTCGATGTGTATATTATTAAAATAAATTCCGGAAGCGGAAGTAACGAGCCGGGAGTGCAGTAAGTAAGTGTTTTAGTGAGATGAGATGAAGGCTAATGATACTACACTTCCCCCCACCCCGCGCGCGCGAAGAGTACTTCGGGGCGATAAAAATAAGTTTTCTAAAGTAAGTTGAAGCAAAAATGCTCATTTCACAAATAGGAAGGAACAAGTTCTTATCTCGTTTCCAACATTCTTCTCTCGCACTCTCACACACATACAACTATATATATATATATCTGTTCGAAAAGGAATCCCCTCAATAAACGCGTTAGTAGGTAAAAAAAAACCCTCAAAACTGCTCAGATTTTGTCCCGCTTCCTTTTCCAACATCCCACCCGTCTCCTATCTGCTCCGCTTTCAAAAGCCTTTGCACAAACAACAATGCCAATTAAAGTTTCAATTCTGTGTGGGGAAAAAAAAATCCGTCTATACTAGTTTCGCTAATTTTACTTTTCTTGATTTACTTTTTGTTGCTCGAGCGAAAATCTCCCTGAGACAAAACTCCCCTTCTTTTTTTTTGCAAAAAAAAAAACCACCCACCCACTCCTGTTCTCTTTATCTTCCCCTTAACTGTGTTTTGTTGGGAAAGTTGTTTGCGCGCAGAAGGGCGGCCCTTAATTAGTTCATTTTAGTATGTATCCGGCGGCTCGGATCCTTTCCTCTCCCAGTATACACGACTACATGTATGAGTGTATGTATGTATGTACATAATATGGAAGTGCACAACAGTGTGTATAACGGATACGTTTTACGTGATAAATTCGCTGCAATAAAGTAGACAGGGTAAATTTGTTTACTGAAATAATACTTACAGTTGACGTTCAGAGCAATTCTCTTGCTGACTGCAGGTGGAACATCGTTGCTGGCTATGCAAAGATACGCTCCCATTTGTTTTCTGTCCAGACGCCAGAAGTACAAGTTGCTTCCGTTGTACGTGTCCACTGCAATCAAAGAAAATACGTCCACTATCATATATTATTACATAATTTACTAATAACAATCAGAGCAATTGCTTCATGTAATATTTGTACGTTGGGCAGATTCTAAGTGGATTTGCTCTTGCATAAAGAATGTTCATATTCCTTCGCTCCACTCTATTTCTATTAAAGTCAATATTTTATTAGTGCAGCGAAGGATTCCCAAAACAATAACATCTCACTTAGATAATAACAATATCTAATTCGTATTGAAATCAAAACACACTTTGAATCACTAATTTATATCTAGAATCAAAATTATGAAAACATAATGAAGTAATTATTTTAATTAACAATTAACAAGAAAATAATACAAATTTTCATAACTTATTTTCATTAATTAAGAAAAACTGTCAATTTTAATGTAAATAAATAAAGTTTTTTTTTTCAATTAAGTAAATTATAAGTATATAAATAATGCAATTTCCTTGAATACAAAGAACTAGAAAAATCCTTGAATTCTTTCAAATCAGATCAATATCATTATTTAGGTTTTAGATCAACATTTACATAAAAATTTATAAAATTATACAATCATAAATACTTGATTTCTATCGTATTATTAACATTCTCCAATAAAAACAATAAATTATTTCAATTAGAGAATGAAAACCTTAAATTCTAATGAAACTAATGAAAATGTTAAATTCTTCACTAATTTGTTGTTAACAGAAAGTTAGATTTTGATAAGAGCATTTCTGAATATTTCAAATGATTTTCAGTCGCTGCAAAATTAGATAAAATGTTACTTTTTCTAAAAATTTCCAAATATAACAACAAATAAGAATCTTTAAAATTATTGAAATGACTCAATTTTTCTGACAGAAACAAAAGCTTCGATCAGAAACGTTTTCTTTTAAATAAAAACTTTGCTAAACTTTTTTTACTTTTTAGAATGTATTTTCTATGAGAAACATCAATGAACATTTCGTTTTTTTTTTGGACAAGTGTTAATTAATTAATTTTTTTAAGATTCTTTAAAATTATTGAAACTTTTATTGTCATATTCATTCAATTTTCCTTTCTGAATGTTTCATGTTGTTTCATTCAGAAATTAACAAGCTGCAAAATTGGGACAAAGATACTTTTAACAAATTATATTATGTAAATATATTACAAAAAATCCAAGAAATGTTAAAAAAAAGTCTCAGATTTTGAACGAATTCTCAACAACTTATTTCCATTAATTAATAAAAACCTGCAACTTTTGTATTGTAAATCTATTATGTTTTTTTTCCGAATAATTATATTTCTTTTGTTGGAAAAAATAAACAAGTAAATATATCTGATTTCAATAAAAAATTTAAAACAGACATATTAAATATTATGATTATATTATTTCTGGTAATTTACCAATGGAAATAACACTAATAATACGGTTATCTGCTTTGAAACTTTATGCGACGTAATCACGACATAACTGAATCAGGAAAACGCTTTCATGGAAATGCATTTTCCGTTCGAAGTCGATAAATAATTAACGAGGAAGAGCAACAGCACAAAAGTGGATTACATTCAATTTTGCCGTCGGTTATTTTACAAAACTTTTATAATGCGCCTCAAATATCACTCAAAATTTATTTTAGGAATCCGTAGCCTTCAATGAATATCTCATATAACAATTATGATTAAAAGCGATTTATTTATTCAATTTATTCATACTTTAAAGCGAAATTTATAATAATTTTGTTGATATTAATATACTAATACTAATTGGATTAAAAAAAAACTTGTCCAAATTGGAAAAAAAAATACCCTTTTAATTGTATTATATAAACTAAACAGAGGATTAATTTAAATTAAAAAAAAAACATATAATTATAGTAAAGAGGACAGAGTAAAGCAACAGTAGAAAAAAATATAAATTTAAATCAAGGTTAACTATGCATAATTGTTTTTTTTTGTTTTTTTTGTAAAAGTGTAATGTAAATTCTAATTGAACATTGTATATGATTAAAAAAAAATGGAATTGGTGTATGAATATGAATGGACTGGAGCGGCTTTCGTTTAATTGGAACATAAAGGTGGGATTTGCTAGAACGCGGCAGGTCGAGGAGAAGAATGAAAGGGAAGGGAAACATATCAATCCTAGTAACAGTTTGCATGCCGGACTAGTATTAGCATAGGTATCACAAATACTCCATTCATTACGCAGCTGGATATCGAGGCTACAACCTCAACCATTTCCATTCTTCATTTAAATGGTATTTCAGATTTTTTGTAATCAACTACGCATACTAAATTAACTACGTTTTATAATTAATATTTTCTTTAAATTGTATGAAATAATCTGCATATTTTAAGTAATTTAATTAATTTTTTATGGATCGGAATCCGCGCGTTTTCCATTTTCCAATTAAATTAAGCGACACGAACGGACAGGAATTGTTATTTTTCACGTCAGCTTTTTCGACTCTAATGTATAGTAATAAATAAGTAACGATAGTCGCAAATGGGTTTCTGGGGCTATCTCCATTCTGGATAGGACTTTTCGTGCCATTAGCATGATTGCCGTGTATCAATTTAATATGCTTTCGAAAGAGGACATTCAACAATAAAATGCTGAAGTATATTTTCGGTTGTCCGTGCCGATTTTTCATGAATTCACTGTGAATCTGCTGCTAACATTGTCCATCCACTTGGCTGAACCTCATTCATTTCACTGTCCATTTGTGATGAACTATGCTGAAAGCACTAAGAGGGCTCACAAAGGGCCTGGCTTTGCCAGGATTTGAACCTACGCCCACTAGCTCGTGAGTAAGGCGACTTAACCATTCGGTTATTAGTCATGAAAATTAGAAATCAAAACTTTTATCTATCGATATATTAAATTCTAAACAACTTAAACATTCCTTCCTCCCAGAATTTATAAGATTTTTCGTTCAAAAACTTTTCCATCCTGTTTTTTTTTCTGTCGATTCAAAAGTAAACATTCTTACGTTAATGCAATTATGCAATGATTCTAATTTGTGCATTGTGTGATGACAAATACAATATATCCATAAAATATATCCATTTCTATTGGTTTTTAATGAATTGACAAATATCTATGCTGTTTCTTTGACTATCCGACGAGTTTTCACGTTTTTTCTCTTAATTACTAGAAGGTTACGTAACTTTTATTGCATTTCATGATTGCGTAAGATGGGCGCCACCCTAACACAACTTTTTATGAAACAAAAGTTACGTAATGTTACGATTTTTGTATTTTTTTTCATGAATTTCCCCCCTTAAGATAATTACATCTTTGATTACTCTGTTGAAAGCTGAATATCTCACCTTTCCAACGAGCCTATTGGCATTTTCAGGCTATAATCAAGTCGCCTGCTATGAGCTGTTGAAATTGAAAAAAAAAAAGTGAATAGGATTTTCTTCAAAATCGCTGTTTCGTTGAGAACCGAAAAATTTTCAAGTTTTTTTTCTGTCGATTCAAAACTAAAATTAATGGAATTATGCAATGATTCTAATTTGTTCATTGTGTGATGAATAAATACTACGGGTGGACAGATGCAATTCTGCCTGACTTTAACAATTTTTCTGTGGTAGAAAATATAATTACAGGGGTTGCTATTGTCGTACGCTTTAAATTTAGTAAACTACTTTTCTACAGTTCTTTGAGTAACATCAACTTCTTCATAAGCAGAATATATCTTCAAGGAGCGAATAAAACTCTTGCAAATTGATATTCTTTATAATCTATCAAAGATAGAGTTTCATCAGTTTCTCGAATGTAACTCGAGAGGAAATTGAAAGATTCTGTAGAATATGAGTAACTAACTTAAATTAGACTTGGACAAACGATTTGTCTCTAATCGTTTTGTACTTAAATGTGTATGACTGTGAAGAAGTTACCAAGAAGAACTGTTAGAAATAAACCAACCTTTTTCCTAAAGACAGTTAGTTAATTGTATTTAACAATTCCAACGCATTTTGGCTTTACGAATAACCAAAATATACAGAAATAATATAAATGCAGACACACTATTTATTTTTATTTTATTGCAATTTTCCCTCATCGAACATTAAACAATGCTTTCCGTCGGGCAACACGAAAACCGAACATAACGCGATTATTTTAATTAATCAAATTATGTTTATCCTCCGCGTCCAGCGCAAATATTGTTTCCGGTTTTTGTTGTTCCTGTTTGCTGTTGCATTATACCGATAATCGGGTAATTGTTGAGAAAGAAAAATTTGCACAGAAAAAAAAATAAATAATCGCTGTCATAATAACTGTGTACATTGTGTTTTCATACTAAAATTACTGTTGGTTTATATAATAACAATATAGTCATAATAGGTAAATCAATCATGTATGAAATGTAACAGAATGTTATAATAAACGGTATAGAATCATTGTTTTTAGTAGCAAATTAATGTATCTTTTTTTTTGTTATTATGGAAATAATGGTTGGAATTAATGAAATTGAATGTGTAATCAATAACGTAGATTAAGTTTGCATAATAAATCAATTAAAATTATTGTTTATTTCATGACACAAATCAAATTTCGAGCACAAAATAATTCAGTAATTTTGAAAACCTATTAGTTACTTTTTTTTATGAAATTTTAATAAATTTAGTATGATTCTTAATTTGAATAACGTGATGATAATAAATTCAAATTAAATATTAATAAAAACAAGAGGTATAAAAGCGAGTTTCGCTTCAGCGCAATTATTTATTAAAGTCGTAAGGTTCTCCAGCTTTAAAAGTCTTGGGTATCATTTTTCATATATTATGTATTAGTTCTTATGTAATAGCACTCAAGTTGTCATCGCAGAAGACGTTTTTATTTAAAAAAAATTAGAAATGCATATCCTTTTATAACGGTAACGATATTTGCTTTAATCATTATAAATTAGTTTAACTTTCTGCATTTATTACACACGAAAAATGGTGAAAATATATTGATAAAAACTTAAAAGTTGAAAAATTGAATCTGTAAAGAAATTAAAGAAGAA